GCGGGCTCTCCCGTGGGCAGGGAGGCAGCCTGAGCACCGGTCGCGGAGCTGCTCAGTGCCCCCGGCCGCGCGGCCCTTTCCCGGGCTTGCATGGTCGCAGCATGGTGCTGCTGCAGCGGAGTCCGTGGCTCGCCGGGGGTGTCCTCGTCCCCCGCACAGCCACAGGCAGGCACATGGGACTGCGGGCACTGCAGTACCAGCACAGAGCGCCCTGGGCTAGGCTGCACCGAGCACCGCTGCCTGGCAGCAGGGCTAGTCCCTCCATGTGCCCCAGCTGCCCACAGAGCGCTCTGCTCTGCTCTGCTCCGCTCCATGGAGCTTCCCGCTCCACTCGCTGCTCCGCAGGCTCCCGCTGCAGCCCACGCCTGCTCTGCGGGAGCACCATATCCTGGGGGGCTGCGGGGATGGGAGCTGTCACCTCCTTGCAGGAAGGCCACCTCTGACAGGGCTTCCCTTGAGGAATGGCCAAAGAGCAAAGATGAAAGCAAAAGAGGCCAAAAAAAAAAAAAGAGAACAGCCTAGGATATTAGGATATTGAGCAGCAGCAGGGGGACTCGCATGGATTCCTGACTCTTGCAGCCCGGTTTGTCCCCAGCTTGGCTTCCTGATGGGAATGGCATCCACATGAGGGATTCCCAGCACTGTCTGCCCTGAGGGTTGCACTGACGGGAGGAGGCAGCAGCGGTATGGAGCCCAGTGCTGCACCTGCTCCTGCCCTGCGCTTGCAGCAGTGCCACATTTGGCAGCCCCTGGCGGGGCCGCGGCCCGAGGTCACGCAGCAGCCCTGAGGCCGCTCTGGCCCTGCGGCCACAGCCTGTGCTGCCCCTCCTGCCCTGCCCGTGCCGCCTGTTCCTGCGTTCGTGCCCCGCCACGTTCTGCCCCTTCCTCCCCGCATTCCAGCCCCTGGGGCCAAGGAGTTAAAGCATAGTAAGGGAGCAAGCCAGCATGTAGCTATACATAGAGGGATATGCATATATCTTTTAATATATGATGGTTGAAGGATATAGAATTACTCTTGCCTGTGCTCTTGCAGTGTGAATGCACTGGGTTTTTTTTTTTTTTGACACAAATAAGTTGCAGTTTGACCCGGTGCTGGCAGGGGGCCCCAAGCCCCAGGCCAGGAGCCTGAGCCACAATTGCTCAAGCGGGGCCTGAAGAGAAGGTCGGCGCCTCTGCCAGCCGCGAACTGGAGCAGAAGGACAGAAGGGAGACGGACGCGGCCCGCGTCACGGCCTCTATAAATAGAGGGCTTTTTTTAGTAGTGGGACCAGAGCGCCCTGGCAGGTGCTGTCCCCTGCCTGCCCCCAGGGCACTGGTGGCACTTGGGATTGTTTTTTCCAGAGCGTCTCTCTCTTTCTTGGTCTTACTTGTACTAGGGAACTACAGCAGGCTAAAAGCTACTTCTTGATTGTTTTTCTTAACATACCACAGTAGAAACAGTTACTGAGTTATATTTGCCAGAGTCACAGCAGTTTATGTGTGTTTGCTATTCACAGACTGCAGAATATTGCCAAAACCGCACTGGTGGGACGGACACCACAGACATGCACTCGCGTGGGACCAGACTCAATGACGGCGTTAAGCACATTCATTTCTGTAAACACCTTCCAGGAAGATTGACTCCTTTAAATGGGTAGCTAAAACTTTGTTTTCTCCACAGTTACGCACAAAATAACCTGTAAACACTTGACAGTACAGTTATGTACAAGGAGCCACGCGGGAGGAGGTAACTCAGTGGGGGCCACTGCAGCCTCCACTGCGCGGGGGGAGCGGCCGCACACGGCAGCGTGTTGGG